AACCCTCTTTGGAACCATGCAGGTGGCAATTTGAAAGGACAAACTTCAACTTGCACTGATGTATTTTTTTAAGAAGCTGTAAATCTTGTTTTTAACCATGAATTTCTACCTTGGGATTACATTACTTAATTGGACTCTAATCCCTTTATAACAAGATAAGGAAGAAGGAGAAAGTCAAGAGCCCCTTAAAGACCTGTGTTCTGGTTTGAAAAGAAAACAATCACCTCCCACAACACTATCTTACACCACTGTCTGGACTGCTAAGAAGTTGGCTGATCACGTAATTCTGATTACCATCTATACTACACATACATATATGCATACACACATGTGCACACACATGCGTGAACACACGTACACACGTGCTCAATCCTCACATTAGAAAAAAAGACTTCTCATATATGTATATATGCATTTCAAAGACATTTTTTACAAGTATACACATGCTTTGCACCCAGAGCTGGTCCACACACACACACACACACACACACACACACACACACACACACACACTTAAACAATCTAAAATAAGAACCTAATGACTCACATGAAGCCAAAGAGTCACAAGTTTTCAAAGGTATTCTTCATATAGAGGCATGGATATATATAAAGTACAACCCACACTCAGTAGAAACAAGCTAACTCACTCAGATATGAGTTGGCTCCTCAAAAGATGTACCCACCCGAGACATATTCCCTGTGCCTTTTCAATTCTTATTCCTGGACATTGACCTCATCTGCTAAGAGAATGAACCAGAGTGGGAGAATCCCAGTGGGATTAGAAACCAATCTTATTCCTTTCACAAAGAGTGATGCTTCCACAGCACAGCACTCACAGAGAATCATGGTACAGTTCCAATAACTTTATTGACTCAGATGATGGCGAATGGTGAATATTTCTATATGGATTGCCTGGTGTTGTCAAAGCACATTCAGAATCCCCATGTACAAGATGTATCTAAAGTTGAGTAGATGTTGAACTAATGACAAGCTCTCCTGCTTCCTTTTTTCTCCGACATTCTTGAGAGCTAGGGTTAGGTCTAGCTCACCAAGTTCTCCCTACTTTCCCTTATTCCACACCCCCACACAATGCTTAGACCCAAGCAGCTGTCCGATAAATCAAAGAATCACAATTTTGGATTAAATATCTGGGTATATATTGACATATATTTAGGGAAGAATTAATTTCTTGCAGACCTCACAAATTACTGTAACTCTTTCAAGCAATAAATATCCACTGAGTATGTACAATTTAGTAGTAACCAGAGTGAACTAGAGATGCTACTACCAAAACAGCAAGGTATGGGGTTGGGGATTTAGCTCAGTGGTAGAGCGCTTGCCTAGCAAGCGCAAGGCCCTGGGTTCAGTCCTCAGCTCAAAAAAAAACCCAGCAAGGCTACAAGGTAGTGACAATCTCAAACTATTTTGAAGCCAATATGGGGTGCCAAATGGGTGGATAGATAGATGATTGACAGAGATGTGTGTGTGTGTGTGTGTGTGTGTGTGAGAGAGAGAGAGAGAGAGAGAGAGAGAGAGAGAGAGAGAATATATCCTCTGATGGGAAAGCCTCCAGTCTTCCAAGTCCTGGTCTCCAACCTAAAAACGTAGTAAGAACCTTCATAGGGTAGGTATCACTTTACATCAAGATAATTACAGACCCAAAAGAAAAATGATTTGGCCACTTTCATATAGAGTAGAGTCTGACTTGATCTTAGAACTGTCTAAGTTTAGAACATAAGCTTGACATTACACCATACTATCAGCATGTGGCCCCTACCACCTGAGCAGCATCATTATGCCAATGTGGTTCATCTTGAGTTTATACTCTCCCTCTTCTTGATTGTCTTCATTTGATGTTTTTGACTATAAGGCTTTCCACCATTCTCTTCCCTACATGCCTAGTCAAGAAATTTCCCTGTGTCTTTTTCACCTGAGGAAGCTTTCATTTGCTGCCACTTTGTTCCTTTAAGAACTAACAGCTGTGGTGTGTGACGCTAAAGGCATCAGAATAAATGGTTTGTTAGTAATGAATTCACAGTCTAATGAAGATTAAAAACGTAATGGCCGCCAGGCATGGTGGCGCATGCCTGTAGTCCCAGCACTTGGGAGGCAGAGGCAGGTGGATCTCTGTGAGTTCAAGGCCAGCCTGGTGAGTTCCAGGACAGCTGGGGCTACAGGGAGACCCTGCTTCAAAAAGACAAAAAAAAAAAAGGAATGGCCAACTGTAGTGGAGACTGGGCTCCCTAAAGCTGTGCACTGCACTGACTTAGATAGTATAGAGACCCAGAAATTAAGGGAAACAAAGCTATAGGCTGAAAAGCATATTCCCTTCCCAATGTCCCACAAGTTTTTTGTTGTTGTGGTGGGGTTTTTTTTATTTTAGGATCTAGAGGTCTCATTTTGATGCTGGTCTCTCTTTAACACCCCTCTAGAACTTCTTGTTCTCCCTAAATAAGGAAAAGAGAAAAAGTTATTAAACTCAGAACTTTGGAAAGCTATTGCCTCACTTCTAAGTTGACAAATATATTTCTATGTGTTGTTTGGTAATAACTTTACAAATTTTGTAAGTTATATCAATTTATGTTCACAGATGTATATAATTATGTTTAAATATTTGGTTTAAATTTTAATTTTCCATATCTTTGTATTAATAAAGGTACATGTGTTATATGGATATGGAAAGATAATTATGATGGTAGGATGCTACACAGTTTAGAAAACATTGATCTCAAGTAAATACCTGTATGCCTAGAGCACGCATGCACAGCCAGGAGCACAGAGAAGAGGGCAATCACTGGGTTCAATCTTCCTGACAAAGGGATATTTGCATATTAGCCTTTATATGACTATGTAGTGGAAGGTCTAGGAAAATTCTTTTAAGGAAGTTATAAAACATAGCCAGGTCCCACCAACTAGACAAAGGAACTTGGATAATAAAATTTTATAAAATCAGCCCTAAAACCATCCTAGATCCCTCTCTAAGAAACAAGTCTAAGATTGCCCTGCACGTCTTAAATATATAATTGTTACCTTCAAACCAAGGAGTCAGAGCAAGGGATTGCATTTTCCCATTGTCTCTGTGTCTTTCTACCTATAAGAAACCACCTGACAGTCCTAAATAGACTGTGTGGAAATAACCTCAAAGATGCACTGCAACTATGGGCTGGAAACAACTGCACTTGAAAATGACTAGGGGTCAGACATGATGGCGCTGAGTAGCTTCTGTGGAAGACTTTGATGGAGAAAGTTAAGAGGATGAGTTGGCACTAACACACTTGGCCTTAGAGAAAATCCTGAGAATTTTCTCTAGGACTACAACCATGCTGAGAAGAGTTCCCTCAGAAGGAGAGAAAGT